AAAATCACTTTGATTTATACGTTACACCTGTAAATCACTGGTGATGATCACCAGTGGCGAAATATAGTAATTTTGTAAAAAATAATATTATAAATATATAATTATTATATAATTGTTATATATTAAATATATTTAATAAAAAACTATAGTTTCTGTAAAGTGTACACTAGTTGAGAAATTAGTGACGGTTATTCCTGTTGACTAATGCATACTTAATTACCTTATATTCATGCTATAGTATTTATGAATTCAACCAATATAAGACACACTAACCAATAATATAACCACTAATATCATAGCTTACTCTTATAATTACTGCAATACGGATGGAAGAACGTGCCTTGATGCTAGTATATTTTTAATAATCAAATACTGTAGTAATTTATGGTTTTTAATTTGGATCCAATTCAAGAATGCGCCCGAATGACTTATTTGTGCGAGTGATACAAACCCAAAAAGAAAAATTCAACATTTAGGGTTGGAATGTTGAAGTTAGATGCTATAGAAATAAATATTTACTTACCATATGTAAAATTTCATTTCCGTCATTTTTAATAAGCGCTCCAAGACAGGTTTAATCACTTGCTTTCTTGTATTTTCGCTTTTTTCGTTTTTTTTTCGTGTTTTTCTTCGCTTTGCCGCGTGTCGAACTGATCTGGGATTTATGTTCTCCGATTGACTAATTTCACTTTTTGGATCGCACAAATAATGTGCACGCGGTATCTAGTACATACAAGATCTTGGGCATATTACACAAAAAGCAATGTTAAATAAAAATGGGTAATACCTAATTTACATATAATAAAATGCGTAATACCTAATTTACATAAAATAAAATGCGTAATACTTAATTTACATATAATAAAATGCGTAATACCTAATTTACCTATAATTTAAATATAATAAAATGCGTAATATAATTTGTTATAAAAGTGCATACACGCTTGGACATTTTTGAATACGGACGTTGAAGATATCTAAAACCTTGGACATCAAAAATGTACAATCCTGATGATATTCACACAATAGATCATACTTTTTAATAAGATGATAATAATATGGTCATAGCAATTGGACTCAAAATCTAGCGCACGAACAATATGCTTTGTTCCAGGTATAGGCAACTACTTATTTTCGCGAGTAACATAAACACTTAAAAAGGAAATGCGAAGGAACTTCAAGTTTGAAATATAGTGCGCAAAGCGCGCATGTTGTTTGATTGTACCAATAAAATCGTGTATATTATTGCATCTTCATATTTCACGTGCGAAAATGGAGTTTTTTTTTTTTTACTAGGAAACACTCTAAAAATAATTAAATCGACCTTGGTGCACTAATTAAAAAAGAAATTTGTCGTAGTAATGTTTTAACCGGGTCTGTATAATTTCACCGACAATCAATTCACCGACTGCTCATTTAGCCGACATCACGCCAGGTGAAATTTAGTAAAAATATATACCAACAACTAATCAAATGCTTAACGCTAACCCCTATGTGATGTCGATAAAATGAGCGTTCGGTGAAATGATTGTCGGTAAATTGATCTGTCCTAGCCTTTTAGTCTTCTATCTTAACGCATTTAGTTTAAGTATAAATTTAAATTTCATTTTTAGTTTGTGCTACTAGCGATAATAAGTAAATCCCCTGATATAGCTATATTGTCTACTTGCATTGCATAAAAATTTCTAAAGATGAACAAGGGTAATAATTAATAATCATTATGTAAACATGATCATTATTTTTACGTAATTAAATGCATTAGCTATGATAATCTTTGATTCTAATTGTAATAATAAAATATTGTGGCTTGTTATGTAGCAAATATACATGTTTAAAAACTTTAAAGGTTGTCACCCACTTAATCGAAATATTTAATCGAAATTTTTTTTTAAAATAATTATAATCATAATAATAATAATTTCAGTTGCCTAATGATAAAATGTCTAATTCCGATAAAGAAGTGAAGAATTATAACAGAAGAAGCATTTTTGATCGGTATAATAATTATGATGAACTAGACATAAATGAAGTGGCATCGGTACTATTGGACCAATATAAAATAATTGGTGGAAGGAAATTCTTAAACACTCATGAAACGAATTACATTATGCCATCAGATGAAATTGAATTTAGACGAATGGAGGTTGCTCATGTGTTAAACAGATACACGTGGAAAGGTAATTTTAATGCTCCAGTTGAGGAAACGCTAAAAAATGGGAAAGCTACCGTTCTCGATGCTGGGTGCGTAAAGTCACAAACTCGAAGTTATTATCCTTAAATCGTAGATTAGTAATATTTCATTTTACTTAATAGGTGCGGGGCAGGTTGTTGGATTCTTGATTTAGGA